TGTGTGTGTGTGTGTGTGTGTGTGTGTGTGTGTGTGTGTGTGTGTGTGTGTGTGTGTGTGTGTGTGTGTGTGTGTGTGAGGAAAACTATGGTCTGAGGTCAAGGAATAAAAAAAAGAAAGAAGAAAATCTGCATAATAAATTGCTATAATTACCTAATTATTATATTTCTGGATATATACTAAGAAAAATGAAACTGTTTTAAAACCATTTGCATTAAGGGATACAGTTTCTTGTAATAATCTATTTTTATAACTGATGCTCATGGCGGAAAGACTTCAGCCGCTTTAGTCTCTGCACACCAGTTACTGCGGTATCAAACAGGATTGGTGAAGCTATTTTCGGGCGCACTGATTGGTCATTAAACAGTGATTTCATTCAAGTTGGTCTCTAATCTCAAATACAACCTTCTATGGAGCCAGTTAAGTCTGCAGAATAAGTTACCATGGTGATGTATCACCTTTGTAATAGTGAAGACACAGAGTTAAACCTGAAGTTACCCGGATAAGCCCACATCCTGCTTCTTAGGTGGACTTATTCTTGTTCCTGTAACCTGGACACAGTTCAGCTATCATCACACAGCTGTCTACTGTTACTTCCATTTATACATAAAACACAGAGCTTTAAGGCTTTGCTATTTATTGTTAAAGTCGCAGTTAAGTCGATGACTGATGAAGCTATGGATTTTATTGGCAGTTGTGATAAATTAGAGACAAATGACACTTCCTTTCCGCTCTGTCATCGCTTCACCCTGCTAGCATTACAAAAATCTATGTGCTGTGATCCAAATGATCAAAGAAGACGATGTAAGCGTCGACACTAAAAGGTTATTAAAGGTTTTAGCTTTTAGCTTTATACATTACCGGAAATTTCAGTGCGTTTTTTCCCCCCAAACATTTTAAGTAAAATATTGGTGGACACGTGTGGCTGTGCACTCTTTGTATTAATGACAAATCTGAGCATAACTTGCTGAGGCACTCTTAAGCAATTAGAGCTACTACTGCAGCACGTACACCTACGATGAGTGTGGAGCGCAGCACAGGGAAAACTTGGTAAAGCAGTTTTTGTTCCTTCCAAAAGAAAAACTCCAAATATGTATTTTTAGAAAGGACATTATCCTGCGTCCAACATCAAAAGACACTCCATCCAGGAAAAAGTGTCAGATGTGTGGTCTGGCAGTTAAAGTGAATTATCACAACACCAGGACTGTCCACTGATGAGCTCATCACCCACACACATCCCTGCTCCACTCCTGTTGTTTCATCTAATCATCATTTCATTGGATAACGCACGTTTACAGTAACAGCTGCCCCCGAGCTAAACCCCTCACTACTGCAACAACAACAAACATACTTCCTTCTCTTCCTCACCTCCTGTCTCTCAACCCCCGCCCCTTTTCTCCCACTCTGCTGCGTGTTACTGTTTACTAATGGAGCTGGACGGATGCTTTCCTGTTAAAGAAATCCAATTAGTTTCTCCAACATAGACATTTCCTGGCCATTAGCGACGGAAGGACAACGCTGACTCACTCGCAGCACCCCATCCCCGACGTGAGGACTCACCTACAGCAACAACTGGGATTGAGATTGCTGCTGTGCAGTTGAAGCTTTATGTTTTGAAAACTCTTCCCCCATCACGTCTGACAGCTGGAGTGTTTGCTCATGGGAATCTCGATCACATCTCATTAGTAACTTGACCAGTATTCATCTCCACAGTGCATCCATCAGAGAAGCTCCCCGCAATGCATTGGATCGATGCTCTCCTCATGATGAGAGAACGGATATTAGTTGTTGTGCAGCGGATATCAGACTTAAATAAACGTGACAGAGAAAAAGCTGTGCAGCAGAAAGCTGGACCTCTCCACGGTTTCCACTTTGCAAATGATATTCTTTCCACTAACAAGTGTTGAGACAATGATTTCACATACTGATGTTGGTATTATTATATCTAAAAGAAATCGATTTCCTTACCAATGTGTTTTCATGTTTTTCACAAATCTTGATGTAGGAAAAGGTCAGAAACTTTACCTGCCTTGTTTCATTCAAGTATCCACTCTGTTTTCCATCATGCAATAGGACCGTCAGTCAACTCTGGATATATTACGTGTTTATTCACTCTTATGCATCAGACCAAGCCATTGAGGAGGCCTCTAAAAATCAGTATGCAGCATGACAGCAATCCCAGAAATAAAGGGACATCCTCAGCAGCAACAAGAACAGGGAGTCCTGCAAAAGCTGACAGAGAGCTGTTCAACTGCTCATTAAAAAAATCTAATCAGCTAATCACATGGAAGTAACTCAATGCATTTAGGCAAGATGGTCAAGATGACCTGCTGAAGTTGGCTGAACGTGGCGTGGTTGTTGGTGCCAGATCGGCTGGTCTTAGTGTTTCTCAAACTGCTGATCTATTGGTAGTTCATGAAACACAACTATCTTTGGGCTTTAGTCTGAAAAAGGGTTTCAGACTTTTTTGGGTGAAAATGTCATTTTGATATCAGAAAACAGGAGAATAGCCAGATAGGAAGGCAGTAACAGTAACTAAAAAAAACAACAACACTTTTTACAACCAAGGTATGCAGAAGAGCGCCTCTTAAGGTGCAACATGCTGAACCTTGAAGCCACAGCAGCAGAAGACCATATAGTGTGCCCCTCCTCTCAGCTAAGAACAGGAAACTGACCTCAACAAAACTGGCCAGCAGAAGATTTGAAAAATGTTGCCTGGTCTGAAAAGTCTCTTTTGGATGGTAGGGTCATAATTTGGCATAAAAGACAAGTATGGATCCATCCTTCCTCATATCAACGGTTCAGGCTGCCAGCAGTGATGTAATGGTGTGAAGGATATTTTCTTGGCAAACGTTGGGCCCCTTTGTACAAAGTGACCATCTTTTAAGTGCCACAGCCTATGATCACAGTGTTTCCATCTTCTGATGACTGCTTGCAGTATAATATTCCTAGATAACCATGTCACAAAGCTCAAACCATCTCAAACTGTTTTTCTGAACATGACAATAAGTTCACTGTACTCAAATGGCCTCCACAGACACCAATTCAATCCAACAGAGCATTTTTGGGATGTAACGGAAAATTTGGCATCATGGATGTGAAGCAACTGTGTGACGCTATCATATCAATATGGACCAGAATCCCTGAGGGATGTTTCCAGCTCTTTGTGGAATCTATGGGGTCTCTGCATCCATCCGGGGTGGCTGTAGCTCATCAGGTAGAGCAGGTTATTGGTTGCTCCAGTCTGCATGCCAAAGTATCCTTGGGCAAGATACTAGCAACATGTTGCTCTGCAGTGCGTCCATTGGAGTGGGAACGTTAGATAGAAAGCA